CGTAATTTATGGTTAGTTGCAACACCGTAAATTCCGGGCTTTAAAGTTGTATTGTTGCAACATGCTGTTGCAACACCGTAATACCGTAATTCCGAATTACGGGTACCAACTCTAAAATCAATAGATTTTATTGAATATATGGAAAATCGTACTGGTAGTTTATTATAGAGTCAGTACGGTACGATTCAATTTTCGCGAAAAAATACTGATCTGTAACATCGTACCGTACTGGTTTTCTGTCTACCCGCTTTTTTTAACCTAAAGATTTACCCGGATTAATGCTTTGATGCCACCCGGTTACGACCCGTTCCTTAAAGGAAATCCGTGTCTTTGGCCCGAGTTATTGTGTATTTTGAAAAGCTGCAACAATAATGTCATCGGGCAATGAAATGTTTGGTATTTATTATAATGGCAATTAAAAAAAAAATAACGTCAAGATTGAAATTATAAAATAAAATTTATGGCACAGCCGATTGGATCATGCTTGCTCTTCAATTTTTAGATATATTGATTAAATATTAATACGAAAATAATGTTTATTGGGTATAGAGAATATTATTATATTGCAGAGATGCCGAAACTTCTCGGTGATATAATATTCCCACCCTATAACTATAATTTACAAAACAAGTATAATTTGAGAATTTAGAGATATTTAAAAGGTTTATCATTGTCTAAAAATAATTTCATGTCAAATACTTTAAGTCTGTACAAAAATAGAATCGACTCAGAATGATGAATTTCCAATATTTCTTTTGTATATTAATAGTTGCATGATAAAAAAAAAAAAAATCAAAAAAAAACTTAAACTGCAAAAATGGAACCTATAAAAATAAACTAAAAAAATATATATATATATTATAAAGATGAGAGAATAGATGGATAAAAGCGCGAAAAAAATAAAACATTTAGTGCTGCGACAGATCAACCCGAAATTAAAAAAAAATATATATTAGAAACAAAGAACAAAAAAAAAAAAACACATACCGCGTACTTTCAAATGATCCTAATTGGTAATTATAATTTTTAAAAAAAATGAAATTAAGATCGTTCTATCGCTGCGGCCCGGAGCGAAAGAATCCAAAAGTAAATAAAAAAAATTAAAAATTAAAAAATAAATGAATTTAAAAATGAAATTAAAGAAATACCGCGTATTTCCGAAATAATCGAACCTGAAAAGTATTAAAAAAAAAACCGGAAAACTTAATAGAAAGTATCTTTAATTTCGCCGCCCGCATCATTTTTTTTAAAAAATTGTAGTCATAATATTTACGTGATTGTTACATGAAAAATATTCAATTGTGTAACAACAATAACTATTAATTATAAGACTATTTCAGCATAATCCATATTGATGATAAATTTTTTTCAATTGTTATTTTCCATTCCACCACAATTAATTTTACTCATCACATAATCATTGCGTAATTTTATCGAATTTGAGCATTGATGATTTCTCCCGAAGCGTCTCCCAATTCACATATCTCAAAAATATCACTAAAAAAAGTATTTTGTAAAAAATATGCACACTTCAATACGTTACACCTGATCCCAGTTTCTGATTGGCCATATCACGCGTGCGGACAGACACATGCATGGAACTTGCGCTTCGGACAATTACATTTTACAATTCCATAATTCTCTTTTAATTTCGTGCATAACCGCATCCTATACAGTTCTTCAACATTTATATTCTTTTAATTGAAGCCATATTCCATATTAGAACATTTGCGTTTATTGTTGTAATATAAATTTATAGCTGATGTCATATCGGTTTTTAGATATGGGAAGTTTGAGAATTTTTTTGACTAAAATTAATTTTAAACTTATAACATCAAAAAATAAAAATGCAATAAAAATTAAAATTTTGTTAAAAAATTCCTAGAATCTGATTTCCTAGCAATCTTCCCATATTGTGATTCATTAAAATCACGTAATGAAATTTGCATCGACCTCCCGCGCAATCAAGAAAATTTATTTGTCCAGCCTTATTAAATTACCTGTACTTGATGAATAATAACCATCTTCTTGGCAAATTTATATATAAATATTCTTTGGTAATTAAATTTTTTAAATGTTTTTTTGGTGATTAATTGAAATCGGAAATCGAAAGAAGCGATCTAAATCGATTCTACTTTTTTGAATCGATTCCAATCCTCCCCAAAAATAGATGGTTCGTCATCATTATTTTGATTGATATTGATAAACGTTGTAATGGCATCCATTAAGTAACAATTTACCGCATAAACTTTTCATGCAATCTTGAAAATTGCCAATCTTCCATACAAACGTGTGTTTACATATTTACTCAGCATTATAAATTTTCTATGAGGTCTTGTTGATACGAAAAAAAAAAAGATTTTCAAAGAGCATTTTTTCTTGCGCGAATGATCAAGTTTTTACAATTAATAATGACTTTATTTAAAAGAAAATAATATTATTTAAAGAATTTTTAAATTTAAATATACAATACTAACTCGAATAGTCCTCAATTTATTCTTTTGATTTTCTGTTTTAAATCTAAGCTAAATACTTAAAATAGAAGCCCCAACTCGTAAAGGTTCTAAAATAACAAATATAATTAATAAACAATAATTTAAGAAAAGTAAACAAATAAATTAACCATACCTAAAGAATCATAAAATTCGTTATTAATTTCTATTGAATTTTGTGGTTCGGGAAGATTTTTAAAATCCAAAAGCCTGCTCGTATAAATTGCTTTTGGGTCTGTTTCATATAGAGATGGCGTTGAAGGCTGTGCAGATACGAATTTCGCAAATTGTTTGAATATCTCCGTATTTTTCCTTTGGCGAATATCATTAACCCACTGATTTAAACGAAGATTCAAGTCTTCCGCTCTGGGTCTTTTTAACGGATCTGCCTTTAAACATTGGTCCATTAAATTTTCTAAAAATGGTGGTATTTTAACATTATCAAACTTTGGTCTAACCCCTTCACAAATTTTAACAGCAAGAAATTCTTCGTGAGGTAAAAAATGGTAAGGACGTAATCCGGAAAGGATCTCATATGCTACCATTCCAAAGGAATAAATATCCGATTCTTGTGTATAAACTTTGCCTCTCAACACTTCTGGGGCAACGTAAGGTAAAACACCATATATTTTTTGATCGTCTTGTTTTACAGCCTGTTCATCAACAGGGATACATAATCCAAAATTAGAAATATAGCAATCAGAAAAGTCTTCCTTTAATATATTTCCAGGATGGAGGTCTTTATGAATAAGTCCATCTTGGTGAATGATTTTTAAACCGACTGCTATCTTGTGTAATATATCTAATTTCGTAATCAAAGCCAATTCATTAAAATGATTATCTAAATAATTTCTAATGTTCCCATTATTAATATATTGCATAACCATTATAAAATTGTCGTTTTTTGGATCTTTACTGATGCCATAACATTTTACAATATTAGAATTAGCTCGTGATAGCCTATTTTGATAACGTACCTATTAAAATATTTATATAAATAAATTTGTAAACAAAATAATATAAATGACTGGAAAAAATGTTTTTACCTCTTGTAAAAATACTTCTGTAAAATTTGAATTATCGAAATATTTTAATACGACATATATATTTTTTAAAATACTATAATCATATCGTGGAACTCTATAATACTTTATACATTGTATGTATCCATATCTAGTAATTTCATCATATTGAGGTGTTTTAGATACTCTATCTATATTAGGTAAATGAAACAAATGATAAAATATCTGACCAAATCCTCCTTCATAACTTGGATGAGTTGATTCACTAACTTTTAGATAAACATCAATCCAATCTGCTTTATATACTGTACTAAATCCACCTTTTGCAAGATGTTTAATATTGAATAAATTTTCGTAGGGTATCCATTCTAAATAATCTTCATGACAAGTTGCATTTAATTGAGTATCACGTATAAATTCATCAATAATCTTGTTTCCACTTGTCCAACCTTTATTTTGTTCAAAATATGACGAAATACAGGGTTGACAAAATCTTTCTATAGTGCAAATTTTATTACATTTACAACAAAATCCATATTTCTTAAATTTGTTAATAATGTTATCTATGTTTTCGTTTGGATATATTCTTCTCAAATAGGATTCGGTTGTTATAGCATACTTATCAAAAATAATAATAGATTTTAATCCTCAAAATTGTCTCTGACTATTTTGTCCTCCATCTTGAAAGAAAAGGAGGAAATCCTATATTTTTGGTCAACATTTTTTTTTAATTGACCGATCACAGTCATCCATATGACCGAATTGTTAATCTACATCCAAAAAAAAATTTCAGATTTAGCTAAGAAGCATTTTTTATTTAATATAGAAAGATCAACAACAAAATAAAAATACTGGGGTTTAACGGGAAATACAAATTCTATTTGTCTCAAAATATATGAAAGGTCAATTTGGTTCTTTTCCAAACACTCCCCCATATATCTATATACATTAACCCAAGAAGTATAATCAACTTATGTGCTCCGATAGAATTTTACTAATAATTATTTAAATAAGAAACAATTTATTGTTTTCATTGACCTTTGATATCTAATAACTCATATAATTGTTGGATTAAGATGGATTCCCGAAGATAAAGAAACTGCAAAAACATATTTTTTATAACAGATGCATCCTTTATAAAATATCATCCATTGCTTTATTAAAATATACTTACCTTGTCTTAAATTCTTAAATTGACGCGAGTAAAAGCCATTTCTTAAAAAAGCATACCTTTGTTCATAGTTATCTTTCATGATAAAAGAACCTGAAATGTAGTAAAAAAAAAAATAAAATAAATAAATAAGAATCGAAAAAGTTAAATTATACAGTATATGGTATAAGATTTTTAAATAGGTCGGACAAAATAAAAAAATCGTTTACAAGACGAATTTTCGTCAAAGTAATTTTTTGTAGTCTAATAATTGGAAGTATTTATAAAAATTTTTTGATCTAATAGAAGTCGCTACTGGATATGTAATTTCGCGCGCTTTAAGATTTGTTATCGCATATATCTTGTACGACCACATCCTAATCATAATATTTGTTGATAATGGACATTTTGGGTAAACGTTGTTGCATGAGTTTGTGCATGATAGGTACAAGTCGAACATTCTAATGTTCCCTATCAAATAATTTATTCCTTGTCGATCAATGGATTTAGTAAAAGCCTTGTTATGGACTAGAGAACTTAATTTACTTTACCCCTGTTACATAAATTTGGTTAAAGGGAATGTGTAATATTAATAATTTAAATCTGGAGCTAATTAATAATTTCTTCATAGTGGTGATCATAAAAAGTTTCATGTAGGGAATTGAACAAAATATGTTTCTCCAGTGTTGGGAAAGTCATATGATGACATTAAATTTAAGAAGAGATGTCACTAAATCAAGAAATTGTTTTCCTATTTCGATGCATAAATTAAACGGATGAAAATAATCGAGTATCATCCTTGGGCAAAGCAAATTGTGACGCAGCAATGTTTATTTACAAATAAACTTTATTCAATTTGGGCATATTAAAAGAATCTTATTAACTGCGGAAAGGGTTATATAGCATGAACCAAATATTTACTTTTCACGCATAGAATATAGGAAGAAAGTCATTGCAGAAACTAGAAAATATATTGTCTCAACACAATACTATGAGCGACACATTTATTGATTGTCTAACTCGATTCCATAAATTGACTAATTCATATGAATATGCGCGTTTATTTTCTACCCCAAGTGTTGAGCTGGTGCAAGTTCAATGAACCACTCATGGTTATTCCCGATAACCTGACTCACCCCGAATTGACAAAACCCGCTCCTTTTAGTAAAATTCACAATTTTGATGGTTCAATGTCTCTCCCATGAGCATATGTAAGGTGATTCGGTTGGCGTAAAATGAGCATTTGTTTATGACTTGATAGTATCAAGCTATTACATTCCAATCACGGTGACGGTGGGTCGCAGTCAAACAAATATTTTGGCGCCTTTTTTTTTATCGTGTTTGTTGATCGAATTATAATTGCCGCTTGCTGTTGGTACTTGATGTTTATTGTTATTGTTTCAGCTTATTTTAAGAAAGTTGTACGATTCAGATTTTGGATATTTTTTCTGCTTGTATAACCCACCATGAGAAAATTATAAAAAAAGGCAATAGTAAAAAACGTGTTTTTTTTATAGCGGACTTAGCGTCCGTTATTTTTTTTTTTTTTTTTTTCTGATGATGATCATACCAAGCTTTTTAAGGCAATGGATTTTATCATAGTGTCGCAAGGATGTTTGCTTTACTGATTAGGTTAAACATAAAACATGTAAATTAAGAACGAAACCAATTTTGTACGTCTCTTTCATTATTAGTAACATTTTACAATCAGCCGCCTTGCATTATTGTTTTACACAAGCCAAGCGTCACACAACATTGTATCCGTTTTGTTGTCGATATTTTTAACCAGTACCATTTCATTCATTGCCTTTTTCTCTTCTCAAAATGCTTTTCATATAAATACCAGAAATAAATTCTCTGACCGTCTTTCTCTTTGACCCTTATACCAAAATAAAAAAAAAAAGGCCCTTACATAAGATTTCTTTTGTTGTGGAATCGATATGATATTTTGATTAACCAAAAAAAAAAAAAAAAAAATTTTTTGTTGAAATTTTGTTGACGAAAGAATCTTTTGACCAATAAGGCATCATCACTCTTTATAAATGTATTTAATTGTCAAATTTACATTTTTTTTTTATTTTTAAAAAATAAAAAGTATTAACGTATACTTTTGTTAGTTTCAGCAAACACTTTCATTCTTTAGCTTTTTTTTTTTAGTGACACAAATCATGGAGGTCATTAACGGTAACGCAACCGATCGCCAAATTTCCAATAGGGATTCCGTTTCAAGAAATGCCACAACTGAAATTCCATCACCACGATTACGACCGAGGAGCAATTCGGCTCCACAAGAACGATTAATTCCCACGTCACAGTCAATTGCGAACGATACGATCTCAACTTCACAAAATACCAACTCGATCGTAATTCCTTCTCGACAAAATGATCCACCGCAAAGGAGACACAAGAGTAATTGTGATTGTGGTCTTGAACCAGTCCTCCGGGAGGTGAAAATAAACACCCCAAATAAAGGAAGATTCTTTTGGTCATGTAGCAAATTTGGTGGACCGGATCATATGAGAAGATGTAATTTCTTTAGATGGGATACTCCAAATGAGAATGAAAATGATGTTGACGAACCATCGTCTTCAGCTCCAATTAGGAATGAGATACCTTACGTCTTAATCAGAGCGGGAACGCCGTTGATTACCTACACCGACAACAACATTAATGATGATGATGATAGTGAAATTAACCTTTCTCCGCGCCCCGATCAACTCTCGGAGAATGAGGTCGTACCTAGGTTGATCACGCGGACTAGGGCAACGTCCGCCGCAACTCCTCTGTTAACTCCACATCGGAGACATAGGAATAGAAGGGCTTCTTCACCACAAGCTCCTGGATCGCCTCCGACGAGATCACAATCTCCTTCCATCGCTGCAAACAATGCTTTGACCGGTGACGTGTATACGCGTAAACCGGCCGTATTTAGTAATTGGGATGATGTACCCAAATATTCTACTCCTCAATTATTGGATATAATGCAAAATCATCTCGTACAACAAGGTAAACTAAATCATCTTATCGTTCCTTTTCTTTAATATTAATTAATGTGATTTTTTTTTAACTTCTCGTAGACAAGAATTATCAACAATGGTACACTGCTTACAGGCAGGCTAAACAAGATCTTGAAGAAGCAAAGAAGAAAATAGAGAAATTAAGGGATGAGTTTGAGGTGGAAAATAGGGAAAACAAATTGTGCAAACGTGAAAATGATATATTGAGAGCCGAAAAGCGGTTGTTGGAGTATGAAAATAACGAGCTAAAGGAAGAAAATCAAGAATTGAAGAGAAGGAGATATTAAACATTATTTAATCGTACAATAATTTAATTATTCAATCATTCACTCATTCACTTATTTTTATTATTTTTGTATATGTATATATATATTTCTTTATATATTAGCTGTATTGTATTAAAAAAAAAAAAAAAAGTGTAATTATCACGCGCTATTTTTACTGTTGTGTACTAAAAATCAATGGCAGTTACTTAAAAGAGGACCTGTTGAATACACAGTTTATAATTTGGTTTGAATCAATAAATAAAGAATTTCGATCAAAGAATTTTCTAATCAAATTTCACGCAATGAGTTTTGTTTCATATTCTGAATTATTGTAGGTTTTACGTATTTAAGTTGAAAACCACGCCATAAATCTTCTTACTTTTTTAAGTGATATATATATTTCATACTATTTAAACCCAAATTAATTTTTTTATTCTAAAGATTTACTTGATTTAAAACATTTGTTGGTGTAACTTTAATTCATAGATTTATGAAAATCGCATTGGTGAGGTTATTTTACAAGCCTATATTTATTCAATCTAATCCTTTGGAAATAAACCTTGCTGAGATCAAGTACAATTATGTTCTCGTGATTTTTTTCTTTAAAAGCTGAATTTGAAGTTTGTGCCTTACTTTGTGGAAAATTTCCAAAATCGACTTGAGAAATGCAGGACGGATCGTAAAATTCACAAACAATTATACTAGAAAGAATTTCGTTGCTGTCAAAATGGTGGAATGTTCTGTATATCCCCCGACATCTCAGAATTAAGTTTCCTTAAATCACTCTTGGTATTAAAAGTAAACTAATGCATCAGAACGAACTGCATATATTTTATATCTTGCAAGGATCGGTTGGTTCATTTATGGTAAATTTTTTTTTAAAATTTTACATTGTTCGTCCATAAATCTTTGATTTTAAATATTTTAAATGTGTTTGTTTGATCAATTAAATTTTTTTTAAAAAAAAAAACAAATTGATCATGTTTTGTTGATACATTAATACATCAATAATAGGTAACACTAAGCATTTCTAACCTGCATGATCTCCCGAGAGAATCAAGGCTCCATCAAGCAAATCCCGAAGAAAGATTCCCCGAGCGCCATTTTCATCTCGATCCATCACAGTTCTACAATTTCGGCAATTATACACCTCGGACCCTCCAATTTTTTAAATTTTACCACACCAGCTACAAGTTTTAGAGGTATAAGCTTCATTTTGAATAATGATATGAACTCCCAATTCTTCTGCTTTGGCTACTAGACGTTGGCGAAATTGATAATGTGCCCAACCAAGCATTTGCCGAACTGTTTTTCGTGTAATTTTTCTTGTTTTTCTGTTTGTCATATTTGACACTTCAAATGGTGGAATGATAGCATTAAATTCACGAGTGAAAAATGAAACAGCTTTTCTATGTATTTCATTTTGCAAATGAAAAATTTTTCGCCTCATACAGTATAAGCAATCTCGCCAATCCTATCCAACGTTTCAATAATTGTTTTTGAGAATGGTTGAGGTACACCTTGACTAGTAGTGTACGATTGAGAGTTTCTCTGAACGTTTTTGTTTAGCGCGTGCCCTTGTTGCACTGGCTTTTCTCTTCCTGCTGTTTTGATACACTCGTCGATTTGCATTTGACAGATGTAGACAGTGTTGATCGCAAGGATATCCTGGGAAAATTCGTGTTCATCGGAGGTCGTACTGTTGAAGAGAACCATGTGTTTTGTAGTGTGGAGGGAGAGCACATATTGGATGAGGTCGAAGGCAAACTGGCAGAGTCGGTCACGATGGATAACCATAATTTCCGAGACCATTCTGCGACTTGTCCGTTCCAATAAGGTCTTAAGTCCCGGTCGTTTGAAGTAGACACCTGAGCTGATGTCGCTGACGAGTTCATAGGTTGAAAATCGGGAGCTAAGGAGTTGTTTCTGCCATTCAAGGTCTTCTTTTTGCTTGATACTAAAGACCCGAACATAGAGGAACCTTTTTTTTAGTGGTGGCGGTGGTAGTGGTGGTGGTGTTATCGGCATTTTCAGAAGTCATCTCTGGAAGAAGGCGAGTACCAGAAAGGGATGTTATATAGAAGTGATCGTGATCTTTCCTTGCTTTAGCCAGCGATGCAAGGTTTCTGACGAGTGTCATGAGAGGAGATTTTGAATCATGTGATTTTCATTTATAAGCATTACTAAGCAATTATTGCAACCGTATTAAGCAAAAGTATCCGAGTGGATAGGCGATAAATTATTTTTTTAAACTAGGGTATTAATTAACAAATGAGGTAGGATATGTACTGTACAATATAAAAAAAATTTTTTATACAGTAAACCTTAACAGGGATGAATGTGTAAATATAACGGATTAATGGATTTTAGAGTTCGTCCAGGTACTTCCTAATATGGATTAGATTTTTGTATAACAAAACTAAAACATTTATATAAAAGGCTTGATTTTTTTTTTTTTTTTGATTCAATATTCTCCTTTACTCCTTTATTTCTATAAATATTTACGCAAGAATATAAACCACCGGATACGATGACATCACTACAAATTCCCGGCTTCGATTATAATAAGCAGTCCGTTACCATTCCTGGTTCAAAGAAACCCGGGCAGACAGGTATCAAAGTATAAACGGCCAGAAATTAATAATTGATCGTAATTTAATTATATTAATTGGAAAAATATATATATATATTACTGGTCTTGCAAATAAGCTGTCTACAGAAACGCATTTATGCCAAATGCTTTGGCTGAAAGACCATGTCCCGAGGTAAATACAGCATTTGAAAATTTTCAATATGGTAAGTTCAAATTTGGAAATTAAAATCAAGATTTACCACGTGAGATTGAATTTTTTTTTCTTCTTAAATAGCTGTTTGTAAATTTGCAAAGAGACCTTGTCTTGGGTATCGTCCTTTTGATAAGAGCACGGGGAATTTTGGTGAATATGTTTGGGAAACATATGAACAAACTCTTGTTAGAGTCAATAATGTTGGTAGCGGATTAGTTTATATCAATGATACCGTTGTAAGGAACGGAAGAAAAGATAGATACACCGTCGGAGTGTGGTCGTTTAACAAGCCAGGATTTCAATTGGCTATCCAGGCAAATGCGGCTCATAATTTAATCACGGTTCCACTTTACGAGACGCTTGGACTTGACACGGTAGAATATTGCATGAATCACGCTGAAATTCAAATGGTTTTAGTGTCAGCAGACCGTGTCGCACCAATGTTAAGGTTGGCTGCTAAAATCCCTCAACTTAAAATTATCATTTCATTTGACCCATTAGAAGAATCATTAGATCACCTAAGAGGATGGGCGTCAGAATATAATATTAAAGTTTATGAATTTTCGGAAATTGAAAAGTTGGGAAGAGAAAATCCTAGAAAGTATAATCCTCCAACACCGAATGATTTATTTTCGATTTCTTATACATCAGGAACTACGGGAGTTCCGAAAGGTGCAATGATAACTCATAAGAATATTGCATCGATGATCGCTTCGATCTCAACAAATACGCCAATCAAAACCGGTGATGTGATGCTCTCGTATTTACCTTTAGCTCACATTTTCGGCATTGATGTTGAACTTGGTGCTCTCTTTCTTGGGGTATCAATTGGTTATTATAGGGGGGACATTTTCGGGATATTTGACGATATTAAAGTATTAAAGCCAACTTACTTTCAAAGTGTTCCTAGAGTTTTTAATAAAATCGCCGCCATGTTAATGAGCTATTCCGTTGATTCTCCTGGCATTGTTGGTACGGTGGCAAGAAAGGCTATCAAGACAAAACTAGAAAATTTCGAAAGAACCGGATCTGTAACTCATCCAATTTGGGACAGACTTCTTTTAAATAAATTTAAAGCTTTTTTCGGCGGAAGGGTGAAATCTTTTAGTACCGGGGGTGCTCCTCTCGCTAAGGATGTTATGGGTTTTCTTCGAGTGGCATTCTCCGTTTCTTTTCAAGAAGGTTATGGTCAAACCGAGACTACGGGATTAGGTTGCGCGACCATGTATGGTGATATTCAATCATCTCATGTCGGTCCTCCCGTTGTTTCGTAAGTTCAGATTTATATAATTTATGTTTGTCTTTCTTTCGAGCTGAGTTGAGATGAATTTGTTGATTAGATCCGAATTGAAGCTTGTTGACGTTCCAGAATTGGGGTATACAAGTGAAGATAGACCTTTTCCACGTGGTGAAATTTGTGTTAGGGGTTCCGGTGTTATGCCAGGGTATTTCAAAGATGAAGAGAAAACTAAAGAAACTATTGATGAAGAGGGATGGTTGCATACCGGTGATATTGGACTAATTGATGCCAGAGGTTGTGTAGTTATTATCGATCGTAAAAAAAATATTTTCAAATTAGCTCAAGGGGAATACATCGCTCCTGAAAGGGTATTGCTCATATTATGTTATATATTTTTTTTTTACTTTAAAAAAAAATTAATTTTTTAAGTTTATTTAGATTGAACAAGTATACTTGAGAAATTTATTATTGTCCCAATTATATGTTCATGGGGAACCTATAAAATCCTATCTTGTTGGTATAGCCGTTCCAAATCCTGAAACATTCGTTCCATGGGCGTGTGAGCTTTTAGGAGGAAAATATGAATTTGAAGAACTTGTAAAAAATAAAAAAGTTTGTGATGCTCTCTTGGAAAGTATTAATCAAGTTGGTATAAAATACGGGTTAAATGGGTAAGTTTTTACTGTAAATTTTAAAGAGATCTTTATTTTTTATTTTTATAAAGTCATTGAATATTAATAATATTTATTGTCCTCTTATATTTATATTGATTTAAAGATTTGAACGCATAAAGGCAATTCATCTTGAACCAAAACCGTTTTCGCTTGAAGATGGAATTGTGACTGCAACGTAATTCGACCCTTATTTTTTTGTTCATTTATTATTTATTTTTATATATAATTTCAAAAAATTTTAATCAAGAGATATATATTCTTTTTCCTTTTCTTATTTCTAGATTAAAAACGAAGCGTTCATCTATGGCCAAGTTTTACCAAAAAATAATTGATCAGCTCTATGAAAATTCACAAAATGTTGCTGCCAAATTATAAATTTACAAAAAAAAGTAATTTTTTTTAAAAAAAAAAAAAAAAATTAAAATTAGCTAATATGTAACATCTGTTAATTTGTATTAATAAATTAAAATTTTGCCTTCAAAAATGAAGTTGCAGCTTTAACAAGCGTTGAATTTCTCTCTTGATTTGAACAAAATTTGTGCGTAAAACTTGATTTGTAACGATAAAATGGCGAAATAAAAAATTAAAAAATACACGTATAAACTATTATAAACGTGACGAATTGATTCATAAAATATTGTTTTTTAAAAGTTAGTCATTTTTGAAGAATAAAAGACTTATTTCTAGGAAATCAAGTTACGAGACATCAAAGTCATATATCCGAATATGATTGAAAAAATATTTCTCATATAATCTACCAAAATAATAACTAGAACGATTTTTTAGCGTTCTATTATTACAAAGGAATATTATTTTTCTTGCAATAGTCTATAGCTTGCTTATGTTTGAGATAAGCGGCTAATCTCATATATTTTGTACCTAATTCCGGATCCTTTTTACCAGCACCACCAGAGAAATATAAAGTAGCA